GACATAATATTTAAAGAAAGTGACAAGACATGATATTTAAAGAAAGTGACAAGACATAATATTTAAAGAAAGTGACAAGACATGATATTTAAAGAAAGTGACAATACATAATATTTCGTTAACATAACTGCTCAACATCTAGTTATTTTAACTTAGGCAAAGATACAAAAATTCTATAATCCTAGCGTTCTGAAAGATGGACCTTCCTAAGATGTCAGGGGCAGACTGGGAAGAAAGCTCCATCTATCAAAAGCACATGGGTTATAGGGTTTTGTATTTTTGTTTTAAATTGATTTGCGGAACCTTCATGTTTTCATAACATCGTAAATAATTTAACCGAGGGACGCCTTAAAAACCGTTGTTTCTAAAATGTGTTGAAAGTTGTTAGGGGTGTCGCAAGAATTTAACCAAACGAAAAATAATTAGGAACATAAAAAAAAAACAGTCCATAAAAAATATTACAGGTGTCGCGCAAATCAAGATAAGTGGGTTAGGGTATCATCAGTGAAAAAAAGTTTGGAAATCACTGCCTTAAAGAATGTTTCGATTAGCGTGCCTGCTTTTATTTCATTATTGCTTTGTTCCCAGCTCCATGCCATTCAAATATTTATATATATATTTCTTTTTTTCAATCCTCACCTGCCATTGAAAATTACAAGACGCTAATGCACATTCGAATGTTATTTTCATCATTTGTTTGTGGTAAATATATTAATAAGTTTAACACAATTGACCTTGTAACTGGTAGAATATTTCTGTTAAATGTTTATTGGTCGAGTAGTCTCACTTTGCTATCTATATATAGACGTACTTCGGGTTAACGTGGCCTGTTTAGGGCACTCGACTCACAATTTCTGAGTCGTAGGGTCAAAACCTTTCGCTGAACATGCTTGCCTTTTCAACTATAAGGTATTATAATGTGACAGTTAATCCCACTATTTGTAAGGAGTAGCCCAAAAACTGGCAGTAAGTGGTGTTATCTAATTGTCATCTCTTTTGTCTACAACTTCATAATTAGGGTTAGCTCGCACAGAGAGCCCTTTAGTGGCTTTGCACGAAATTCAACAAATGCCACATTATATATATATGACTAAGAACCACAAAACAAGGCCAAGTCACGCAGAGATAAATTAAAACTGCAAATGAACAACGAAAGGAAAATGAGCCTAGAAAAACAACAAAAGGAGTCAAACTATTAACTAATGAATGATTAAAAAAAGAATACAAATCTTCATGAGACAAGTTATAGTGGAAAGCTGCTAGATGTATTCTGTACGACCTTCTTCTGCGGATACCTCTGAAGCCAGGATATAACAGATAGGTTCCCACGCTATAACTATTCCCTTTCATTTCGTTATTCAGTTTGACTTTACTTTGATTTTCAAGGGGATTTGATCTTCTTTGATGGTTGTTATTAGTGCAATGAAAGTTTGAACCAACACTTACGTGTGTGGAAGGTGTGGAAATATAGAGATATTTAAAGCAGTTAGAACCAACACTTACTTGGGTAGAAGCTACGGAACTATACAGATATTTAAAGCAGTTAGAACCAATACTTACGTGTGTGGAAGGTGTTGAAATATAGAGATATTTAAAGCAGTTAGAACCAACACTTATTTGAGTAGAAGCTACGGAACTATAGAGATATTTAAAACAGTTAGAACCAACACTTACGTGTGTGGAAGCTGTGGAGCTATAGATTGTCCTGTCGTAAACCCAGCCGTTCCGACACGCCTGTTTAGAGACATTCGAGAGGATAGTATGTATTTTGAAAGTTGTACTTGAGTTTGAACTCTCTAACAAATCCAAAATGACACTGCTATAATTCAGGTCATGCATTTGACATGGACTAGGTATTTCCAATCCATGCTGGTTTTCCGTTGGACGAATCAACATATGTTGTTGTTGGACACTGAGGTTGGCTTTGGTCACTTCAGGAACATAACACCAGTGGTCTGGAACTGACATCAGGAAGATTTGATTTAGAGCAAACCATGCTAATGGAACCGTGCAAGGCAACAGAAACCAATTGACGAGTCTTTTTTGGAAAACTCCATAATCTCCTACTTCTGCGAGGATTTCTTCAAACTCCATTTTCTTCACAATATTTTGAATATATTTTAGTTTTTTTCACTTTATTATAGGCGGCTTGTCCACTAATGACTTTTCTTATTAAACCTATCTGTTTGTCCACTAATAACCTCTGTTATTAAACCTATCTTATTGTTTTCTTCAGTCTTATGTTCTCTGGGCCTTTCTTTGTCTTCTCCAAAGCGCAGTTGATGATAAGAGAAAAGAGGGCGAAATTATTATTCGATTCTCTTCTTTGTGATTCAAGCGGAGTACCAGTAAGTGAAAGGAAAAACTGCTCGCTTTGGTTTCTGATCTAGTCTTAAGAAATCTTTAAACTGAATCTACAGAAACTTTATAGATGGTTATAAACACAAGCAAACACTTACTTCAACAGCACAGAAATGACGATCCTGTTTCATATGATGACGCATTGGATCAACGGAGGTGTTGTGGTAAAAAAAACAAGAAAGGTCTTTCATTAATACACATCCCGTTAAATCACGTGGTAGAATCTCATCCGGCTCTTTTCCTGTCACATACACACGATAAATTTGATATAGAGAGAAGCTCTTTCTTGTCTTCTCCATGTATACTACTGGATTCAGAATAATAAACAAACCAACTGAAGCCTTTCTTCTCTTCTCCATGTATACTAGTGGATTCAGAATAATAAACAAATTAACTGAAGCCTTTCTTCTCTTCTCCATGTATACTATTGGATTCAGAATAATAAACAAACCAACTGAAGCCTTTCTTCTCTTCTCCATGTATACTATTGGATTCAGAATAATAAACAAGTCAACCGAAGCCTTTCTTCTCTTCTCCATGTAT